TCACACCTGTAATCCCAGCACTTTGGGAGGCTGAGGTGGGCAGATCACGATGTCAGGAGATCGAGACCATCCTGGCTAACACGGTGAAACCCTGTCTCTACTAAAAATACAAAAAATTAGCCGGGTGTGGTGGTGGGCGCCTGTAGTCCCAGCTGCATGGAAGGCTGAGGCAGGAGAATGGCGTGAACCTGGGAGGTGGAGCTTGCAGTGAGCCAAGACTGCACCACTGCACTCCAGGATAAGCGACAGAGAGAGATTCCACCTCAAAAAAACAAAAAAACAAAAAAACTGTCCTTGTGTAAAAAATAAATAAATAAATAAATAATGAACTCGGGAAACATAATAAAACAAGATTTCATCACAATTTTGAGTCAAGTCTAAACTTTCAATATGCATGTTTATTGCTTTTTCATCGAAAATGTTTCCTGTTTATATTATGCAAATAAGAGATACAAAAAGTCAGAGACAGTATATATAGTAGAATCCCATCATAAATTTACATGGGCTTGCGTATGTCATTGGTGAAATAATATCCTTTAAAACATGAAAACATACAAGTAACACCTAAATAGGTGGCCTATGAAAGACACTGTTATTATCAGTACGAAGAAGGGGTCCCCGTGTAACTATGTCAACCATACTTACCCTGGAGACCTGAGCACAGCGGCACAGGGTAACAACATCTAGAAAAGAAAATATCCTAAAAAGAAAAGAGAGAAAGACAACTTTTATTGTATGATAAAGTAGTTGACCTTTATTTATTTTGAGACAGGGTCTCACTCTGTCAGCCAGGCTGGAGAGCAGTGGCATAACCACTGCTCACTCCAGCCTCGACTTCCTGGGGTCAGGTGATCTTCCCACGTCAGGCTCCTGAGTAGCTAGGACTACAGGCGCCTGCCACCATACCTGGCTAATTTTTAATTTTTTGTAGAGACGGGGTTTCACCATGTTGCCCAGGTTGGTCTTGAACTCTTGGGCTCAAGCAATCAGCCTCCCAAATTGCAAGGATTACAGGTATGAACTACTGCATCCGGCCAGTATCATAAAGTAGTTGCTCTTGATTTTAGCACAGAAATAACTGACTACATGTATATACACACACAAACACAAAGGCAGTTCTTTAGAACACACACACAAAATGCTTGAGCAATCTGTGAAGATAATACTGCCCATATAAAACACAGCGGGAAAAAATGTTTTACTTGATAATGTACATACAGATGCTGACCAAGTTCAATTACCTACACCAAAGGATAATAAATAATTTCTAGCTGTTTTTTTTAAAATACAAAAAAAAAACAAAAAACTTCCCACCTAAAATTATCAAAAGAAAGAAGGTAGGGGAAGGATCTTTCTTTTGTTTTGTCTTGTTTTGAGACAGGGTTTCACTCTGTCACGCAGGCTGGAATGCAGTGGCACAATCACAGCTCACTGCAGCCTTGACCTGGGCCCAAGCAATCCTCCCACCTCAGCCTCCCAAGTAGCTGGAACAAGAGGCACATGCCACCAAGTCTAGGTAATTTTTAAAATTTTTTGGTAGAGATGAGGGTCTCCCTATGTTGCGCAGACTGGTTTTGAACTCCTGAGCTCAAGCAATCCTCCTGCCTCAGACTACCAAAGTGCTAGGATT